AGGATGTCAGAGTTGGGAGGGGCTTAAGAACACAATGTCAGAGCTGGGAGGGCCTTTAGAATTCAGAATGTCAGAGCTGGGAGGGCTTTTACAAATCATCTACTTCTTCCTCAATTTACAGATGAAAAAGCTGCGGACCCAAGAGAAGTGACTTGTCCCAATTTTCGTGGGCTTGCCGTTTTTTTAATGCCCCAAGCATTAATCTCTGAATATTGTTTACACATGCTGCACCTGTTCTTGAAGGAACTGTGGTTTCCTGGGCGCTGGCTGTTAAAAAACCGGTTCCACTGTGCCATGTTCTTCTGTTAAACTGGCAGCATTATCAGTGCAGATTGAAAACATCTGAATTACAAATATGTAGCTACTAATTTCTACTGTAGGGAGTCGATTAAGGAAGTTCTCTGATCAGGTTGGTGAGCACACAAGGGGAAGAGGCTTCTCTTTGGGCCTTGAGTGAATCTTCTTGTGGAGAATATAGACCTGTCCCTTGGTATCTCCTGAAGGATGGCCTTCATTGATGTTGGCTGAATGGATTGGAGGGTAGCATCTTCTGGGAGTAGTCACCCTTTTGTGCTGGCCTATAAAAGGCAGTCAGAAGATTAGCGTTTTTCTTCCAGTAAGATCCAGAGTTAAGAATGGACAAGGTTTTGAAGTGGGATTGGGAATAGGGGGAGGTTCTTCCCCTCTCAGGAGCCCTTAATGGCAGTATTAGGCCAGAAGCACCTTGGGAATTCATGTGCTGGCCCATGTAACTTGTGAAGAGTCTTCCTGGATATTAAGATCCTGGGCCCAGTTTGGAAGGGGCAGTAGCATAACTTCTCACCTACATAGCACCTGTGAAGCAGGAAGCCATATAGTTTGGGGTGGGGTGGGGATGGTGCTGGTGCTGGTGGTGGGGGGAAGTTCTGGAGGATTTTGTCTCTAGCAGCCCTAAATTTAAGAGTAAACCATTCAATTAAAAAGCATTTATTAAGTGCCAGTAGGTGTTAGTCATTAGAGATACAAGGACAGAAATAGAACAATCTCTGTCCTCCAGCACATTGCATTTTATTGAATTCCAGGGTCTGGCCTTCTAGCCACAAAGGGGGAATTTCCTGAACAGTGTGATCCTAGAATGATCCTTCTACTGAGAAAAGTTGGATTTACTGGACAGTGCCAGCCTCAGGTGAGGCTTTTAGGTAACCCCAAGTTCAAGAATTCAGGAAATTAT